CCCACAGAGCTCCCTCGCACCCCACGTCAGGTACACTGCACATTCACCGTCCCAGCACGCGAAGGGTTAGTCCTACTCACACGATCTCATGCATCTCTATTCCTTTACTTTCAATCCATTTTCCTATTTTCTTTTCTATGCTGCTTTTTCTTATCATTTTTTTCCCCAGTATAATTTTCCCATAGTATTAATGCACAAGCAATACTGCTTTTTGCTGAAAAGTCATTGCTGTTAAATATTGAGAAAAATGCTGAAAATGCTTGAGAGGTTTGGTATCCCTCCATCATTTCTGCACTAACTCAGAGCCTGGGAAGTAACACTATCAATCTTGTCAGCAGGTCAGCACATCTAACTGCCACTTATCTCATGCTTTTAAAACTCATCAAATATTAATGTTGAACTTATTGAGGTTTTCTACCAATAATAAAAAACCCAAAACACGTCGGAGTTTATATTAGTAATTTTTGCATTCACCATTTCAAAATCTTTAACAAGTATGATAATGTTTGATTTAAACGGAATCAAGAAACAACTGAACTACAGTGCAAATACTGACTATAGTAATGCTCCTGCATAATACTGTTAATTGCGCTAATTCAATAATTTCAAAGCCCATCCTCTGTGGGATTTTGCCTAATGGGGTTTATGGGCAGCTTTTGTCCATCTGTTCTTCCATTGCCCTTGTTGCAATACTTTCTTCTTTTCTTCATCCTCAATATGAAGTTTAACCTCCCTGCTTTTCCCTTTATTTCTTTATTCCTACTTTTTCTGGGTCTTCCTCTCGATGTAAAATCGCCTCTTATCAGCGTGGAGTCCATCTATATTATCAATTTCCTGCCACCTTACGCCCAGATACCATCAAACTATGCACCCTCTCCATTTTCAAATGAAGAAGTGTGATTTCACTTACCTTTTAATATGGAATGTACATTGTTTTGTCCCCTCCTCCAGTGTACACGTTAAAGATTTTTCACTTTGACTGGTGCAATGTGAGAAAGATTCTCTTATCTCTTTCAAGAAAATAGCTAAATTTTGGGAGAGGCGTACGTATGTATCTTCCACAAAGCTAAAGGATTTACTTTTACTTATATTCACTTTACATATAGACACAATGAAACAAGTTGACTTGGCTATAAAGTGAAACTAAGAATTGGCATTTCTATTATAAGCTGATCCTTTTAATAGTTTAGAATTAGGTTGGGTTTCTGTTGTTTTCAGTGCAAATAATTCCTTATGAAAAAGTTCCTTGGAAAATATCCTCTACTCCCTTTTCTTGACATACGTATACAAGCATGATCAGCATCACCAAAAAAGTCCACTTTTTTTGCTTCCAAATTTATGATACACAAATATGTGTACAGATTAACAACTTTACACAACATGCATTGCTATGCTGAAAAGTATAAAAAAATCAAAATTGGAAATAGAAAGAAGGCTTCCCAAAAGTAATTCAATCTAGCTCCTCGCAGGTTTTGAAACATACTTAATTATCAAAGCAAATTCTGATGGACGTTAATGTTACTGTGAATACAGTTACTGACTCACTTTTTTTGCTTCCAAATTTATGATACACAAATATGTGTACAGATTAACAACTTTACACAACATGCATTGCTATGCTGAAAAGTATAAAAAAATCAAAATTGGAAATAGAAAGAAGGCTTCCCAAAAGTAATTCAATCTAGCTCCTCGCAGGTTTTGAAACATACTTAATTATCAAAGCAAATTCTGATGGACGTTAATGTTACTGTGAATACAGTTACTGACTATGTTTCAGAGTTTTCTTTCTAGATAAATATAACAGTCCTTCCCAATTCCAGAACTGGCTTGAAAAGAGAGGAAATAAAGAAGTTGTAGAATACTTCCTGTATGTTATGCGATTTTGACTAATTTTTAGATTAATTTTCAAGCGGAAGGATACTACTACCCTGGAAGCCCACCGAAGAAACCAGAACTGACTCACATTTTATTGGTATCCAAGAAAATAGAATATTTCTCCTTGATTCTCCCTATTAAAAACAAAGGCATGTATCCACGTTTCTTCCTCGTTACAAAACATGGGACCTGTGGAATGAGTTGACTGAACAGAGCAGGCCGACATCCAGTGCTACTTACCATGTCTCAAGAAAGCTTCCTAGTGCAACTCCCAGTCCTGTCAGGAAAGGGACTTTTATTAGCAGCTCTGTTGAAGTCAACAGGTTTTTGTCTTCGGGAAGCTATACGAATATCAGCTGGCAAATTGCCCTTTCCTTCCAAACTGCTAAGGAAATTCAGGTCATACGATTGGATGGGATCAACTGCAATAGCAAGCAACCCCTCTATATACAGCTAGTTCAGGAAGATCTACAGAACATCAGTTTCCCCACACAATTACCCTTCCAAACATTGGAGAACCCTATATCAAGCTGAAGGCCTGCAGTACAGGATTAAAAAAGAATCAGATGAAATCAAGCGTTACCGATTTCCCACCTCCTTACACAGGAACTTGTTAAATAAAACTTTAGAGGACAATAATCAGTGGGCCATACCCCACAATACAGAAAAGGGCTAAAAAAAAAAAAATAAGACCCAGCAGTCCTTTCCAATTTTCTGTTCTCTATGTCACCTTCCTTACATGTTTCCGATACTGGCAGTATGCTGTTCGTTCAGCTGAGCAATGCATGATTTTCCAGCATCTCCCAATTTTGGCAAGGTTATTGCTCTGCACAAATACACACACGGCCTCTGCATCTCACAGCTTCACTGCCGTGCTTGGTAACGTGAAAAAGCTGCCTAACTTTAGAAAGATCACAAGGGCGCGGAGTTTCCCAGCTTACGTGGAATCATCTTGAAAAGCCAAGCAAGTGGAAGGTTCTCCTGTGAGCAACTCGAGCAACATCCTACTCACAACATTTTTTCTATAGCTGAATTCTGGTCCTTAAAATGCCTCCTCTGTGAAGGATCTGAATTCCCTCCCAGCACTAAAAACATGTTTAGTCTTTGAATGAAGGGATGGACCTCTACTCAGAACAGCACTTCCCCTCTTCCCTGGAAATCTGGCAGATGTAGCAGCAGATTGTCCTAAGAAATGGGGAAGAGAGAAAATGACAAACCTACATTACTCTGCAGTCTTTCCTCCTTCAAGAGGCACCACTGCCTTCTAGATGGTATTTAGCTGGACCTTGCTTTGTTTAAAGAAAGTCTAAAAGAGAACGATAATAGGCATACTGCTTGGCCCTAAGGCTCTGTCACGTTTTAAAGGAAAGGGGAGGAAGAGAGGAACTCTTCTCCCTTGTTTAAGCTAGTTAAGGCAAAGTCAGCGGAGACAGCAGAGACAACAATAGTAGACATCGTACTGTGGGTCGTCTTTGGGTTGTAATTTTGGCAATTCCCGATCAAGTTCAGGCTGCCTATTTGGAAAGGTGAGATGCATCTTGTAAAACCTTTCACTTGAAGGTCACTAAAAAGATGCAGTCCATTACAAAAGGAATCATGCAGTTTTTCTGCAGCAGCTGATTTACCTCTTCAAAAGCACCAGTGCCACATTAATTGAAGGCTCTTGCTGAGGGTATTATCCAGATTCAAGAACAGTGGACAGAGAGAAATAGCTATACCCTGGGATCAGAGACTTTTCCAAAACAGGGGCAGAGCAACTTGACCTAGAACCTAGAAAAACAACAGATTTACTACAAGCTGGAGGAGCTCCTCTTTGTTTCTAAGATCTGTGTAAATTAGAAAAGCTATAGTGCAATCATATAGTCTGTTATTGTAATTACAAAGCTAATCAAGGGCCTTGGAGTTAACAATAGCATTAGGGCACACAATCAAATAGTGAAATGGAATGAAAGATAGAAAATGCAGATTATTAGAAAACACAGTAACTGTCAAACTTCAGAACACAAAAGCCATAGCAAGGGGTTAGGAAAATTGCAGCAGAAACCTCGGTGATAAGTTTTAAAGTTTAAAAGCATTTAGTTTTGCACTTAGTGTGCCAGCATCTACTGTTTGCCATAGTATCCATACTTTTTTAGAAAACACAGTAACTGTCAAACTTCAGAACACAAAAGCCATAGCAAGGGGTTAGGAAAATTGCAGCAGAAACCTCGGTGATAAGTTTTAAAGTTTAAAAGCATTTAGTTTTGCACTTAGTGTGCCAGCATCTACTGTTTGCCAAAATATCCATACTTTTTGTTTTAATGGTAGAGAATGAAAGATGGTTGGAAATTTTAGACCACTGTCTGAATATTTCTAGTTGAACTCACAAACATGTTTGTACTTAAGATTTAGATCCTACTGAAGCGTGATAGTTTCTTACATTGTACTCACTTTGTTATGAGTCTGTACAACTGAAAGAAATAACAGGTCAAGTAAAATATGCAATAATACTTAAAACAGATGTTGATGTAGATTCCAGTGGAAAGAAAATATTTGTTTCGATGTATGCGCTTTCTTAGAGCTTACTTTTCTTATATTGTGCAACTACTGTATTTAAAAGCAGAGACTATTAAGAATGAATTTGTTTAAAAAACAGTAAGAAGTGGTTCTGTGAAAGCCTGTCAAAGAACTGAATGTCCTGGCTTATAAAAATTTCTGCTGCTTCATAAGACACAAAAAAATCACCAACTATGTGGGGGAGAGAAGGGGAGACTATCCGACCTTTTATCTCACTCTCAATATAAATTTCACTGTATTGATGCAGTCCAAATTATATAAACTGTTGAGCCAATTCTGTACTATTTAAACAGGAAAAGAACACTCTTCAACCTTTGAAATATTATATATCAAAACATTAATTGGGCTCGGTGCTTCAAAAACAAAGTCAGAGGGTTGGGAAAAATTGTTAGCTGCTTTTAAAGCTTTTAATTTCAGCTCCTCTATTTATTTTCCTACTGATACAATGTGATCAAGAAGCTATTGTGCCCAGGAGAAATGAATCCTGTAGTCACAGGGCTGAAACAAACTGCTATTTTATAAGGTTCAAGATCAGAAGTATGATTTCTATTCCAGGTTAACAAACTTACATGATTTTCTGTTGGAAATCTTCAGTGGCTGAATCTGCACTTCTGGTCGTCTTAGTGCAAATCTCCTATAAAATGGGAGGTGGCAGGGGAAAGACACAAACTCCTCAGTTTTCACTGCAAGTTTGGGATGAATAACACTTAACATCATGAGACTATTGCAAAATATGCAGAAGATTTTATAAGAAATTAACTTAAAACAATGCAATCTATTCACAATCTCAAAAATTAAATCCTCAGCCTCAAATTTTTGTAAGCTCTCCAAAACCTGCTGCAGTTCTTATTCCTGCATAGTACATCAGTGTGAATACAGATACTGATGTGCTATTTTCCATATGTTTTTTCTTTCAATCTGGATCAGTGTTATCCTATCAGTTTTTGTCATTATTAATTCTAGCCAGACAAATAAGGAAATCCAAAGTATTTCAGCAACAGGTTTCCAAGTTCAGCTGTCTTGCTGCAAATGCAGGTTTATCATACCCATGTAATCTACGAGCATTACATATGACAACTATGCTAACTTAACAACTCAGCAAATAAGTGTCTTCTCTTATTACAGAAAATAATGAAACTATGCTTCTCAGTAGCTCACCTTTCCTGGAAATGCTTTGAAGGGATCAAGCCTGCTCTGGGATTGGCATCACCTTCGTGTTTGGCCTGCCACCAGGTTGCGTCATCCTGGCTCATGATCTGAAGGATATCTCCTTTTCTGAAAGCAAGTCCAGCTTCTTTACAAGGAATTGCTTTATCCTCATTAGGATCATAGTCAAATAGGGCTCTGATAAACATCTGAAACAAACGGTGTTTTATCTTTAGAATCAGAATATTAAACGTAAGCCAAAGGTATCTCCCTTTTTTTGCTTTTACTGTTCAAAACCATTGAACTAAATAATGTAAAGCGATAAACGTTTACTGCTGTAAAACATCCTTTTGGACGTCTAACATTAGAAGTTCATATGGGAATGTTAAATTCATTACTTCTGCAACTGCAATCCCAATGTAGTAAAGGCTCTATGATCCAAGGCAAATAAGACTTTGCAGGTGAATAGTGTGCCCGTATGGGGAACAGAAGAGAAAGTACTTTTGAATCAAGGTGCTATCAAATGTCTTCTACCCAGTGTACGACGGAAGAAAAGGAGTACTTGGAAGCAAGCCAGGTCCTCGCAGAAGGCTGAAGATTACCTATGTCAACTTCACGGCTGTAGAGTTAGGGCTTAAGAACCATGTTACACCCACTTGTAAATCCAGCATGTGAGTATTGAAGTGTGCGGTGCGCTACACATGGTCACATTAGAAAAACTCAGTCCGGAGGCATAAATCACATTCTTGGTTCTGTCATCCAAGCAAACAATACGTATCCTCAGCATAACAGTTACTGCAATAGCTTCTGAAACAGTCTTGCCTACCTTGCCTTCTTTCACTGGCATTTCTTCCTTCACACTAGGTATAATTTTAAATGTAATTGCTCCTTGAGACTGAGCCTGGTGAACATTTGAAAAGAAAATGCACTGAGAATTAAGCTGTACGTTTCAAAGAAATCTTAAAAGGAAAAGAAATTCAAATTAATTTAAAAATATTCAAATATAATGAATCTATCCTCTCCCAAGCATGATCCATGGAGTTTGACAGCTTCACCATACCAAACTTTGCACTGCAAAGATTAAAATACCCACTTGAAACTCTCAGTTTTGTTTGCTTCACTGGTGGGCAGAGATGGACTGTTAAAAACTAGGACCTGCATGTTTCAGAGGTCCCACTTCTGCACTGAAAGCAGGAACAAATGCTACAGCTAAAATGTATGCATATTAGAAGCAACTGCTGGACTCCTGGCACAGTTTGGACATCCCTGGAAAAATCCAACTAACATTTCATTTTTCAAAAAAAGATAGAAAAACTCAAACAGGCTTGTGCCATATTTATCGTATAAAACTATTGGGGGGGGGATTTATTCTTCTGGCAACTTTAAGAAACTAGAAAAGAAAAACATTTTTGAATAGACTACGTGTACTAAATAGGAAAAAAGCCCTCCACTATAAATCTTAAAACAAGTTAGCCATCATCAACCACCTCATCCATTCATTTTTCCCTATATCCCACTTAAAGTGTGTCTGGCTGCATTTTACTTATTAACCACAATATATTCCCACTGCCTCAGTGACATTTTGCTATTGAAGGAAGTGCTAATCAGCTGGAGCCTCTGCTACTATTGCATGCAGCCGACAAGTTTCATAAAACTAGCAGAGTGCAAGAGACAGCCAACGATTTAAGCAAAATGGAAACAGGCCTGTCCACTACCAAGCGAGACATACTTCTGCCGGCATGTCTGTGATCCAAGAGCTCACTGTTTGACAAGCAGCAGCCAAGTTCTTATTTCACCAGCCGTAGGACTGGAATCAATAATTCTGTTACTTTTGAAACAAGCTCTAACTAGCTTTTGATGTTTATATTGTACCTTGAGGAGATAAATAGGGAAATTGTTCACACCTTTTCTAGTGCTATTGTGTTTCTAGATATTTTTAAATATTAATTTTTTCAGGAAAATATGTTTCTGTAGGGAACACAAAACCAGAAAGCAAGTATGAATACCAGTGGGCTAACACTTGAAATGAATCATCTCAGTTATTGAACCAAAACCGTGAGACAGCCACTCAATTCAGCAGGACAGCAAGGTATTTATGTATACAGAAATGCCTACACCATGACTATAAAGAGCTGTCATGACTCTCATTGGTTTTCTTTGCCGTAAAAATATTAAATATTTCTGAAAAAGTCTAAATTACTTAATTTGCAGTAGTGCTCCATAAGTGAATAATTAGGCTGGCTGTAGAGATCGTGTGGTTCAGAGGAGTGCAAACATAATCATTTATATGGCTATATACTGCAAATCAATATAAAATACAATTTTAATATACCAGTTAATTTATTCTATCAAGTACTTCTATTATGAATTAATTTTCACATGGAGTTAATGCGTTATTAATGAATACATTTAAAATAGTTTGAATTCAACAGATCATGGTGTGCCTTAAAAACTGTAGATTATACACTGAGGTCTGCAACATATTTATAGCCATATTACTGTCATTAACTCTTTACAAGTAATTTGTAATTGCATATATATGTAATGCGTGGAAAATCATTCTTTAAGAGAGAGACTTGTAAATGATAGCGCTGGGAGAAAAGGCATTATTGTAGAATATACTTTTTTCTGAGAAATACACCTGTATTATAAGTCTATGTACTTTTTCTTGACTCCCCTAAATTAATTTTAAAATGTTTGGTATTTACCAAAATGTGTATTATTTCTTCAGGTTTTTTATCATCTACGGGAATCCCATTGACTTCCCTCAGTTCATCACCAACATGAATAAGACCTACAGAAGGCAAAGAGGAGTTGTTAAACAGTAGCTACGTATTATACAAAAAATGCCATTAACATTCAGCTTTTTTCTCCCTTGTTCATCCACTTTAAGCTCTAACTTAAAAGCAGGAATATATGGTGAACACAACAACAGTTACTGTCCTCACAGGTAAGTTTGAGATGGTTGGTTTACTCACCTCCCTTCCTTCCTCCTGAAAATTAGTAATTAGTACCGTTTCTCTATGACTCTTCCACACTTTTATGCAGATGTTTGAAAAATGCCTGTACCAATTCTTTTTCTACTCATACTACTTTCTTATTGCTACACAGCTGCAAGTACTGCAAAGATCACTTAGGCTATGAGTGCTAATTTGTGGCACAAATGCTTCTTAATTTAACAATATATATCTAGATTTACTCCATTACCCCAGCCAAGTGTGAAACACAGTTGTCCTAGATTCTCTTCAATGAAAAGAGGCCCTTTAGAGTGTAACTCAGGACCTCTTGCATGAGTTCTTTCAGACTTTCAGCATCCCAAATGAAACAATGGCAGTCAAGGATGTGCTGGTATTTTGAGAATTACCAGCTGGAACTCCAAATGGATGTACTAATATAAAATAATTCAGCCATCCTGAGTTCCTCCATCAGCAGGTTGTAATCTTGGCACATCCTACAGTTTCTAAGTGGATGTCTTCAATTGGAAACAAACCATGATACATCTTAAAAAAACCCTGTATCTGCTAACTCAAAGATACCTGGTTGCAAGTGAACTGGGGAAAAAAATTCAGCATGAATCATAGAATCATTAAGGTTGGAAAAGACCTCTAAGGTCATCGAGTCCAACCATCAACCCAACACCACCATGCCCACTAAACCATGTCCCTAAGTGCCTCATCTACACGTCTTTTAAATACCTCCAGGGATGGGGACTCCACCACTCCCCTGGGCAGCCTGTTCCAATGTTTAACCACTCTTTCAGTAAAGACATTTTTCCTCACGTCCAATCTAAACCTCCCCCGGCGCAACTTGAGGCCATTTCCTCTCGTCCTATCGCTAGTTACTTGGGAGAAGAGACCGACACCCACCTCGCTACAACCTCCTTTCAGGGAGTTGTAGAGAGCGATGAGGTCTCCCCTCAGCCTCCTTTTCTCCAGGCTAAACAACCCCAGTTCCCTCAGCCGCTCCTCATAAGACTTGTTCTCCAGACCCTTCACCAGCTTCGTTGCTCTTCTCTGGACACGCTCCAGCACCTCAACGTCCTTCTTGTAGTGAGGGGCCCAAAACTGAACACAGTATTCGAGGTGCGGCCTCACCAGTGCCGAGTACAGGGGCACGATCACTTCCCTACTCCTGCTGGCCACACTATTTCTGATACAGGCCAGGATGCCATTGGCCTTCTTGGCCACCTGGGCACACAATGCTTTCACCAGTACTGAAATATCACTTTGGAAAGCTGTCCAAACCCCAAATACTTTTGCTTGTGATAGTGATGTATTTTGTGTGTACAAAATGCTCCCATTTTATCTCATCTTTTTCTCAGTTATAGAACTTGAATGGCTAGTGGAAAACAGCAACACGTTACCACTTCTATCTGCAGCTCCTCCACGCATTATCCTGGCCACCACAATTGCACCAGTATGTTCATCCCTTTTAATAGTAGCCCCCTTTAAAAAAAAAAAAAGTTATTTGGTTAATCTTACCATAATTCTAATTCACTACACTAAAAAAACATTTGCTATGTAAAACTGCAAAAAGTTGACATCGGATCAATGTGTGAGTAAGCCAGAAATGATACTTGCTCATGAAAAGAATATACAAACTATGTTGCTCTATTACCGTCCTATTAAAATGTGACTTCTCCATTCAGAACTGACTCATGCAGTTTGGACAAATGATACAAGAAGTTTACTTTTTGACTTAATGTTAACAGCAGCATACCTTACTTGAGTCTGTTGCTAAAACTATACTAAACTATTACTAAGAATTGATAATTGTTTTTCCTGCATTAAAACAGGCCAAGTTACATACTATGGGTACAAAAAGTTTATCCACGTTCGTAATAGTTGCACTTTGTGCTCAGAACTGCCTGTGTACCCACTAATCATAGTTTTGCTTTACATTGTTAGCAATAAACAAACACGAATGAGGAATGCCCCTGCACATCAGGGCTCACCTGGAATACCCGCGGGACAGAAATGCAGAGGAGGGGAACATTTCCTGAGTTAGTCATGACTGTTTTCATACATTACACAAACACCGTGCAAGGCATTTAAGTAAAATGACATCATGTAGTTAGATTTCCAGTGAACAGCTGTCTAGATGAGAAAAATGCCTTTGTAACTAGAACTGCGAGGGTGCGCTGAAAAGGGGCACAAGGTGATGGGGAAGCAGCAGGCAGCAGCAGTGACAAGTGAGAAGGGAAGGGAAGCGGAGGCACGGAGCCGCTGCCTAAACTGCAGTGCCAGTCCTTTCAGGCAGACGGGAAGCAGTGAGGGGGGAATGCTGGCCCTGCTCTGGAAGGCAGAATCTGCAGAATAACGAGGGGGATTTTAGCTAGATAAGTCGTACTGTATAATCACCTCCAAAAAGGTTATTTGATCCAGTATTTTTAAAAAACACCACAAATAAAGCAACTCCTGGCCAACAGCTTTTTATCCGCACACGATTACTTTGCCACGCCAATGTAGTTAGTTACCTGCGATAGCTCTAACTTTGTTAATCAACAGAGATGTTTAGGACTCTGGCAGGTAAGTAAATTTTCTGAAAATTTCCGTATTTTTGATTAGTGAATGAACAGTATTACTTCACTGCTGAGTACAAGAGAGTGGTTACAATTTCCTTCCATCAGGTAAGTGTTGTGCTTGAAGTAAGGTACAGAAGTATTTTATAAAGTTCCTTGAATAATTAAATGCCTTTTACAGCTAGCTTTCTATATTTGTTTAGATTACAGATGAACATCATGTTTATCACTACTTCAATTTTTAAGTGTTCCATGGATGTGAAGCTGAAATATGTACAAGTAAATAATGGGGGTGACGTTTTACTACAGTTAACAATTTTACTGACTGTAAATAAACTTGTTTCCCTTTCCCTCTGCCTCTAAGATGGAAATACAGCACAGGACAAAAAAAGGGAGATTAATTTATATTTTACTATATGCAAGCTGCATTTATTGCAAATAGAGAAAAATTAAACCAGTCACCACACAATATTCTCTTTGGCTGAAACTTTAACAGTAGCCAGCACTCCACAGCAAAATTGATGTGCTGTGTTTGTGTTTTATTTTACATCTTAAATTTATTAGTATGACATTCTATCCATAAGCAAAGTAATTCTGCAACTTGCCAGCCTTATTCTTATGCGTTGTTTATAACATAATTATATCGGTAAGCATTTGTTGGTATTACAGTTTCAAATGAGTCAGAGTTTCAAAAAGATAAAGATTTAGCTGCAGCTAATCTCATTTTAAAAACTCATGATTAGACTTCTGTGCAAAAAGAATTGCGCATCATTAGGAATATTAAACAAAGCATTAACCCCTCTAGCCTATATCTCAATATTAAGTTCTGACCTTGCAGCAACAGCTATTAATATGAAGTTTATTATTAATACCTGGAAAGTTACATCTGTTTAAAAGTACAAAGCATCTTTTTGATGGATATATTCAGAAAAAAAGAAAAAAGTAGCGTTAGGATGTTAGAGCCAAATATAAATACAGGACATTTCCACTATATTGTCCACATAAAACAGAGGCTCTCCTAATTAATCAGGGAAAAAGCCTTGAATGGAAAGGCTTTATGCCTTTTACCTAGAAGTCAACACTATTAAATGCTACCGAATGCAAAAGGCAAGCGATGACTGACAGGCTTCCACTGTGATCACCCAGCTACCCCAGGCTCTAACGCTGATGCCTGAAAACGGGTACTTCACTTCACCTTGTTTTTAGACAGACCCTAGAAAAAACTTTTGTGGGACTGAAGACCACAGTATTGACCCAGCCAGCATCTGGAAGTAATGGTAAGGCTCTTGTCCAAGTGGAACGGTCACTTCATGCTTTATGGGATTATCACTACCAATGTGCTGGCACAAAATGAATTCCTAGTGCAGATTAGCCAATTTGAAAGATGCCTCCGTGAAGATAACAGGTAATTTGGAATTATCAGCAGGAAATCAAGTTGGAATTTACACGGAAATTATTTAACCCAAGTTAGCTCACTGTCAGTAACTCCTTTATGGCAAACTCAAAGTGAATGGGCAGACCCATGAAAAGCACTATTTGAGTTTATGTGGTTTTGCTGTACCTATAGTACACAAAGAAAAAAAGGGCTTCCTTAAGTTCCCCTTCCCTCCCAATTTAGAATACTTAAAAAGAAATCATCAAACACAAGTGAATTTCTTTTTGAAAACCCAAAGAGTTGATTTTCTGAAAAAGCAGTTTCTCTCGTACTGCTGCCAGCCCTGCTTAAACTATGAGGTATATATAATCTGGCAAGAGTTTCTCCTTATGAGATGTTCAGCTCCAGTACTTTCAGTTACATGTGCAGGGCAGCTCCTCATTTAGAGCTTTAAAAATGGAAGAAGGTTAGACTGGACCTTGAGAGCTGGAAAATATTTTCAGTGTTGCTAGCCAAAAGTGTAAGTTACCCTAAATGAGACATATACAGATGTAATAGCATAGCTCAGTTTAAAATACTTTTAAAGGGAAAAATAAGGAGTTTGGGAGCCATATGGTGATCAGACTGAGAAAATGTTTAAAGGTGTACCATGCAAAAGCACTAAAAATAATACAAGCTCCTTCAGCAAGGCTCTTTCACTGTTTTTTGGGCTGGGTTTTTTTTTTTTCAGTTTTAATGTAGTAACACTGATTGGTGAGCATTACTCAGGGTTTCACAGATGTGATCTTTATTAGTTCATCCATTTATCTGCTGGTTCCAGAATATAAACATTATAAGCCTTTATTTTTAAAGAAAGAAAGACTAGCCTGTAAAATAAATTACTAATAAGAGAGTTTGAAACATCGGTAATATTTTTGCATACCTTTCTGTTAAACAAAAGCACATGCAGACATTGAATGCAAATAAGTACTTCAATAAGCCTTATTTTAATTCATTCTCTATTGAAAATGCAAATACAAATATCAGTTACCTACCTTATAGTGAAGAGTTATTTAAAAGTTGATACCCACATACATGTAGACTATGCACACTAAAGCTGTCCCTACACCCAAATTAATCCCACCTATAAAATAGTTGGGTTCATTCACTATAGGAACTGAGCTACAGGGACTCAGAGTGAGAGGCAAGCAAGAGCTGTAGAATTTGCATCGGCAGAACATGTAAACGACTCCTAAATCATCACAATTCATTTCACCCAAGTTCAGCTATGAAAATCAGGTATCTAGTTCAAGCTAGGTGTCTAGGCTCCTCCTATACTTAATGAAAAGAAATAGGCAGCTCCGGAGAATGAATCATCCTTTCATTAAGGCAGGCATCTTAGATTGCATGGTTCATTCTCTGGAGCTGCCTATTTTTCTCTTGACTACAGACACAGCATAGAGTTTTCAAATGGCTAAATTTATGTGAAATGAATCTGTGTGACAAAGAAGCAACCATCTTAACATGAAGAAGCATCCTATTCAGAATAACTGCATGACAGCTGTAACAAACCTGGAATATCATTTGGGAGCTGGAAGTAGTGTGAGCCAGGAACTGAACTCCTGGCAGTGTGGTTATACACCTCGGATATCAGGAACGCTAACCAGGAACATGGCAGTGGCTGAAAAAGCCCTGGAGAGGTAGGCATAAGTAAAAGCCCTCCAAGCTATCTGACAAAAAGCCTAATTATAGCCAAGTGAATTTTGGACTATCTCTGAAAAGAGATGTTTCTACTTCTCTTTACGTAAGGTTCGAGATGTTCTAAATTACTTTGTTCAGATAAAACGTCCTAACACAATTTCACCTCGCTTGAGCGAGACACTACTAGAATGGCATTTGCTAATAGAGCATTTAGGGGGAAAAAAAAAAACCCCACACAACTGTGGAAGGATTAGCAAAAAGTTTAAATCATCTCTTCCAAAAAACTGGAAGAAAGTTCAGCAATGACTTCTGAACTGATGAAATCTGGCAAACAGAAGGCCCTCCCACAAACCATGTGTTTCCCTCTCTTTTGAGATGATTACTCCAGGGAACTCAGGCTTCATTAATATGTGATTAACACTGGCTCAGAACACTGGTGAGGTGCTTAACTCAGAGAAAAGCACGAACAAGTACAAGAGCAAACGTGGTGCAGTTTTATATAAAAATGGTCACTAGTGTTTCCCTCTCTTTTGAGATGATTACTCCAGGGAACTCAGGCTTCATTAATATGTGATTAACACTGGCTCAGAACACTGGTGAGGTGCTTAACTCAGAGAAAAGCACGAACAAGTACAAGAGCAAACGTGTGCAGTTTTTATATAAAAATGGTCACTAGATATAGAATAGAATCATAGAATCATTTAGGTTGGAAAAGACCTTTAAGATCATTAAGTCCAACTGTAAGATCATCGAGTCCAACCGTATATTCCAAAGAAGTTAAGAGTGCCTAATTTTCTTCACAGAGAGTACCGTTGAAAGTCATCCAAAGGAGATATCCAATTCCAGAACTTCCAGGGTGTGCAGCTGATGTAAAGCTTACTATTTTGCAGAAAAATATTCTCTACTGTTTGCGTACAAATAGAGAATGAAAATGTACCTGAGGCGAAAGAAAAGTTCAGAGCGCTCAGTATCTTCAAGTCAAAAAACCAGACAATCTCCATCCCAGAAAAAATATTGTATGGTACCTCCAATCTCAAGTTCAGTAGCAAGAATCCTGATACAACTATGCAAGTGGAAGTCAGACTTTATGACTGGAGAATAGTGAATAGATAAACTGAATACATAGAGACTCTTTGGATCTGTACTCAGCTAAGAATATCCAAGACTTTAGAACAAGCTCTGAAGGAAAAACCGTTAAAAAGACATGGAAATAAATAGAAAATGAAATTTTAAATAGTTTAGTAAACATAGATCATGGCATAACCTTTCTTCAGTAAAACAACTTCAGGAAGCATAGATGCGGTAGATCTAATATACCTAGCATAAACCTGTCTTTATTTATTCTGCCATGCCATATTCTGGTAAGACCTTATCTGAATTAATATCCATGTTTTCTCACCCCTACCTAAGAAAAAAAATTAATCTGGGGAAGGCAAAGACACAAACAGTAGGTTTGTTATGTATCGTGGTGGTGGTGTCATAACAATAATTGACTATCAGTCTGCCACAAAGAATGTTTGACATTAACGATGTTAAAATGGATTGAAGGTGGGTTACGGAAGAGGAGGACGACACTATACGCTATTCTTTGAAGTCTTCCTGGAGAACAATTAACATGCAAAACAGAACTCACCATAAGCTCTTCTCCAACCAAAATAAAACATCAAGAAAGGCTGGGAATTTGGAGAGACCACAAATAGTCCTTTCCCCTACAGATAACCTATAATCTTTGAAACGTTGGTTGAAGGGCAGCTTTTAGAAGTCATTTATGCCGATCTCCTGCTCAGAGCAGGACTACTGTCAATGCCAGATCAGGTCACCCATTGCCTTATGGAATAGGTTGGAAATTGCACATCTCCGGCCAGTCTGCTCCAGTGCTGTACTTCCCACTGAATGAAATGCTTTTGTTAATTCTCAGACTAAACCTCCCAGGGCTGCAACTTGTGGCCATTGCCCTGTGTTTTAGCATCTTTCACTGCTGAGAAGAGTTTGACTCTACTGTCCTTGTGAGCTCTCCACTCTCAAGTAGTTGGAGGCTGCAAATTAGCTCCCGCCCTTTGCCTTTTCCTAGTAATAAGTCTATCACAGATTCCTTTATAATACTCTTTTCGCCTTGGTAATTACACTGAACAGTCTTGACAAACTGAAGAGTGAGTTATCTCACTTTTTTTTTTTGTATTTTCCATGGCTGCGTTCTGTCTAGTAAAAGAAAGTTATAATAAAAAACCCCCTTATTTCTTACCTCCTTAGCACAGCAGTTGTACTAAGCTGGATGGACCTTTTGAGAGACTGTACTGGTTTTGGCTGGGATAGAGTTAATTTCCTTCATAGTAGCTCGTATGGGGCTGTGTTTTGGATTTGTGCTGGAAACAGTGTTGACAATACAGGGATGTTTTCATTATTGCTGAGCAGTGCTTACACAGAGTCAAGGCCTTTTCTGCTTCTCACCCCACCCCACCAGCGAGTAGGCTGGGGGTGCCCAAGAAGCTGGGAGGGGGCATGGCTGGGACAGGTGACCCCAACGGACCAAAGGGATAACCCATATCGTATTATGTCATGCTCAGCAATAAAAGCTGGTGGAAGGAGGAGAAGAGTGGGGACACTTGGAGTTACGGCATGTTGTCTTCCCAAGTCACCATGATGAAGCATGATGGAGCCCTGCTTTCCTGGGGATGGCTAAACATCTGCCTGCCAATGGGAAGTAGTGAATGAATTCCTCATTTTGCTTTGCTTGCCTGCAGCTTTTGCTTTACCTGTTAAACCGTTTTTATCTCAACCCACGAGTTTTCTCACTTTTATCCTTCTGATTCTCTCCCACATCCCACTGGGGACAGTGAGCAAGCGGCTGGGTGGGGTTGAGCTGCCTACCGAGGTTAAACCACAACAGACAGGCAGGCCCCTGGAAGAGTTTAGTATCCCACTGGCGTGAATGGGCAAGAGTGGAATCTGAGGAACAGCCCAAGGATAACCTTTGGGTTAGGCAACTCTATTTGTCCCTTTAAGAGGGCCTAAATCTCAAAAGCGATATATACATATATACATATATATATACATGAGATATATACAGTGTATATATCTCATAAGTTTTTAGAAAAATCTGTCAGTTTTGTTTTCAAAGTTGCTATTTATCCAGTTCACTTTGAGATACTATTAACTTATAGTATTTAACTCACAAAAGTCTTAGTAGCAAATCATGTTTGAAACATGAAACTATGTAAATGAAGATTGAGATTTTTCTGACAAATTCAAGAAAAAACAACAATAAGGGTGTTTTCATTAACAATAAAAATAAGCTGCTCAATTAGAACTCATCTCATACTATATGTTCAAATTTCTTCACACCTTTCAGAATTAATACTCTTTCTGATACTACATCCTAAAGCAAGTTTGTTTTCTTCCTCAAAGAATTTCTTTGATAAAAAAAGGAAAGCTTAAAGCTGTGATTTAAATATTTGGGTAACAAAATTTTAAATCTGTTAAAACAAAGTAAAAGCTTTCCAGGTGGTCAAACTTTTAATTATGCCCATGGGCACCTACAGGCAGTCAATACCAAAACTTATTTTCTGTTTATTGATGCCAGAAATCCATCAAGAATAAGAGTGACAGTAAGGTATCTTCTGTGGGACAAGCTACCCCTGTACGTCAAACAGAGGCATCGTTCTCCCTCTGTAATCTCAAGTACAGAACCACGGCTTTCTCAAAGTAACTTTGCAGATATTTCTTCAGGATTGCTATCCATTAAAACAAATATCCAGTACAACATAAAACAAAGCTCTTACTGGTTTGCAGGAGAAAAAGAATATAGTTAAACTTTATACAAGATGACTCCCACTCTACAGCAAATAAAAATAGCCAAATCAGTAAAGCATTTTAATATTCTTGTAATACAACCTAGGTTTAGTCCTTTCATTTTTCCAGATATCCCCATGAAGATATTAACTTTCTAGTATTCATAATCCAAAGTACAACAACAGACATCTTAAATTTGCCCAGATTTCAATTCAAGTATTTTAAAATATGTTTTTATGCTTTCTTTTCAGTGTATCGAAAGGTCACATTTTTTACATGAATGCTAACAGGCACAGTTCACAACAAAGGTCAAGATTTCTTTGGGGATTCATTCTCCGTCTCTCATTTTAAAACAAGTTCATGATTTGAATTCAAGATAAAAGATGAATATTATTGATCTAAATGGTCAGACTGGCCCACATATATAATGCTCAAACACCATGAATGAACAAATTCTTACTATTCATTTCATGTGCTTTACTCATAACGACTGCAAATGGAATTCACAAGTGTATTATTGAACGTTATGAATAAACATGCGTAATGTCCGTCTATCCACATTTCAAGTTAATGTCACCCATTCATATTCATAATCTGAACACTCCCCACCCTACACGCAAACATAAAAACCCAAAACAGAAGACGGGGTTACTTACCAATGGTTCCCTGTTTTTGACGAGTCTGATTATTTTGACTGAATCTTCTTCCTCATCAATATCGTCAGGCATGGGGGGCAAGACAGGATCATAGTTCTTCTGAGCAACAGTATCATGTACAGAGAGCAAAGCCTGGAAACATTAATAGTCAGTATATTATTTCGCATCTGAAAAGTTTATAAAGGACAAAGCAGAGGATATTATTTATAGCCTAACTCTACTAGCGTGATGCATGTAGATTGAATATACGTCTTGTATACAATTTTAACACATGTCAAACTGATGAAAGAACTCCATAAAGTATATATTTTCATATACACAATGTATGCATCTAGTAAATTGTGGATACCAAACAGTGTCTTCATACACATGGAAATATCGAGTACTTTGCATATTAGCTTGAAATAACAAGAATTATGATCAGGAGAAAACCCAAGTCTCCTGAAGTAAGAACATCATTCTACTTGTCCCAGATAAAAAGTTTCTTTGATACAGTAAGCAGTCCTATGAAACAAATAAGCAAAATAAGCATCTTCCAGTACTTCTGTTCAAGCATGAGACGCATGACATTAAGCTGTTGCCCAACCATTCCCTTCAGAGGGGCTCTGGAAGCTTACCTGGTTACTGGATGCCTTTCATACTAGCTCCCTTTCATATAAGCTCCAATTTATCTTAGGAATTTTTAATTTATTGTGGAATTCATAATTGAGATTGAGGAACTTATGGCTGAAACGATTTGGTTCAGGCAGGTGCTTATCAACCACCTCGCATGTCTTGCCTCCTTTCTTTCTCTATTGCTTCTGCTGTTCACACATAGCTTGAACAAGAGATTTTTCAAAGAAAAGCCTAACAAAGCCTGACAAAAGGTTCAATCTTAAAAATAAAATAATTTAAGAACTTGCAGAAATTAAAAAATCTTGAAAGTCTAAAGGAAGTTAGAAAGCTCATTCACCTAAGGCTCTAAAAAAATCTCAGCTGTAATCTAAAATTCACAGCTTTTTCTAGATACAGAACTCAAAGTTCTTTTCTATTTTGAAAATTCTTCATTATCTGTAATACCTTTTAAACTGGTGAAAAATGGTTAAGTAATGCTTTTAGTTTTGTAGTGAAAAATACGCATTATAACAGGAATAACAGCAACAGCCATACATACAATTCTATCTACTGCTTTCAGTTGCTTCTGTTTTCAAGTAGTTGCTCCTAAATACTTGAATATTTTACATTTTGACCTGATATTTTTTCCCAAAGAGTCAATATTACAAAAGTTCTAGGCTGAATTGCAGAATTAATTTGCAAACTGATAACCTTCCCGACAGTAAAAATAAAGCATTTTGGAAAATTTTGAGATGTTTAGGATAAAGCAGAACATACCAACATTGCTGACATGGATGATATCAGAAGATATCATATCAATGACTGTAATAATGAATCTATTATAACAATTACAACAGTGATTAAGAAGAAACTCCTTAATAAAGAACAGAAAATGGCTACATTTCCCTGATGCCAGTTTACTTGCTACTTAATAAACAGGCCAATAATATTAGACTGGGTACACAAATGACCAGAAACTGCATGTTCTCAAGGGTAATGCAAATGTTTTAAAAAAGCATGACACTTCCATTACGCTATTCCAGGATTTTTTTCCTGAATGGAGGAGACTGTAACAACAGAAAACAATTTCCAGGCAACGCTACAAGCTATCATGTCAAAAGCAGAAGGCAAAGAGTGTATGGTAATCTTGAAATTCCGAAGTTTAAATTTGAAGTTAGGTCTTCAACAAAATAAACACAGACGAAGATCATGCCAGCTTCATGAGAATTTGCTATTGTTTTACTAATTTCTATGCATACTGTACAAATTGATAAAAACATTTCAACACACTAATTATTTCCGTTTTTCTTCCCAAGACACAGTTATGAATTTGTACTATTTACCATCAGAAATTACCAGCTTCCTCCCACCAAAGATTAGTTTTACTTTAGATCTGAGCTAAAAACCTCAGGCTAGCAATTATGGTTCCTCCTGGAAATGCGTATTATGAAGCATTACATATGTAAAAGCCATGCAATCACATGCAGTCCTCTAAGGATGTATGTGAAATATCAAAGACATACTAAAACAAAAGTAGTGTTTGCTTTTACTTCAGGCTACTTACAGTTAAGACTTCTAAAACTAGTCTTCTGCAATTACGTTTTTCCACATAAAGCTACGGCACATTCATGGACTGTTTCAATTTAATGAGGTTCTATATTGCAGTTTAAAAACTATCAGGCAGATAGAGAAAACAGATGAAAATAATCTAAAGCACCACTTCCAGAGTGAAAGGTAGCAACTTAAAACATGTTCACGAGAACCTACCCTTGACAATGAAACTTGCAAAACAGATTCTGTCCGCTACTACACTGAATTATGCCACCAGTGTTAATAAGATACTTCCCTGCTCTGACTGCCAGATCAGCCTCCTGGACACCACGCACAAAAGGACGATGCAGCCCAAGTATTATAAACCAATGCGAATCAATGTCTGGTATTTATGATGCTTTTCTTCCCTCACAACAACTGGAACTTATCAACCCCTTCCCTCCCCCTCCCAAAAAACATATTAAACCACAATGTACTACAGTTTTCAATATAAGATCTTTTACCCAAACTCTGGTATTATTTTATCTCGGTGCAAAGATGCATATTTTAGGTAAGAGTATGAATGCCAGAAGTTGTGTCTTTTCTCAGTTAAGTTTCCAGAAGAGCTTCTCCAGAAGAGCTTCTGTCATCACAAACTTGTTTATGCTGTATACTGAACATACTAAGATTTCTTTCCTGCTTGTCTTCCATCACTGCTTCTTCTAACACACTACTCTCTGTCCACTGTAGTTGCCCTTGAAATAGTCAGCAGCATAGACATTGGGCAATAATTATCTGCAAGCAAAACTTATAAAGTTTTATTTTGATTTCACTTAATGTATTCAACTAGAGGTGATCAGAGCCTGTCCTCGAGAGAACTTCCATGTCTTGAACACACGAAAAAATGACCATATTCACAGACTAAAGGGACATTTCTTCAGCAGCTTCTTTGTACTGTGCATTTAATATAATGTATGCTTAGTCCAAAAAACTATCAGACTAGACTTTTATAGAAAAGGTTGGGACTTTTTTAAAAACAAATTACAAGTGCCAAGACATAAAACTTGGATCCCATCATGAACAACATTTGCACAGAATAATTGTGCAGTAAATGCACAAGGCAATATAAAGGTAGTAATGTTCTCCTTCTGTACCTAAGATGCGATCGATTTATTCACTGCAGTTTTATACTCCATGATACTAATTTTTGCCTATCCCAAGAAACTGCAAGAAGTGCAGATGACATCTTAATTTTTTTTTTTATGTTTTGTTTTCAAATACACAACCCTTTGGAACTATGCACGTATGATTCAAGATTAGGGTCATGTATATTTAAGCACCTCTGGAAAAAAGATTTTATTTCAGCTCTAAGTTCTATGCTTATGATTCACTAATGTAAACACGGTCCATATTTAGAACTTGAAAGAAGGTATGATTGAAACTCCTGCACTACCTAAATATAAATATTGATGTTCAGCTAAATTCTTAGACATGATCTAGCTGGAAATGAATACTTTCATCAGACCTCTGAAATGTCTAACAACTAGTGCTGTATTTTTCATATTAAAGCTATCACTGATCATTTCACAGTTTATAAATTGAAATTTTACACTATCAACTTACACAAAGAAAATCTGACATTGGAAACATTCAAAGTTCTTTTTCTTAAACTGTTCTGAAACTTTAAATGTTTATTTAAATTGAGAATGTTATTAATGAAAACAGTTCTATATTTTGAAAAATGTGTATCATTTAACTACACTGACTACATTTTTGCTCCTCTAAAATAATGACAGATTTTATACTATTTTTTGCTTGTTTATATTTTGAGATCTCTAAGAGTAAAAATACTCCAAGTAGCCCCTGACTCATGAACACAGTTCATGTTTTTTAATTCTCATTATTAAAAAAAAAAAAATCTCAATTTGAGCTTTACTTTTCAGAAATATTTTGCATTTACTAGTCTAGAAAAAAATTTTAGAAAACAATAAGTTAAATAAAGAAGCAAGACAGAATGGACAAAGAAACAAAAGCAGCCTTTTTCTATATGGTACTTGAAAAAACAAGATTAGAAAATTAAATAATTAATAGTCAAGATTATCAACATAAAATTTGTAGGGACTCAGACCAACCTTTATGAAAGCCAACAGCTGCAGCAGACTGCAACACTGCCAACCCAGCTGCTGGTTACCTTGCCTGTGGAGTAGATAACTGGCAGCAGAGTCAGCAAAATGGAACAAAATGGCCCATGACTTTGCTGTCCCAGTCCACAGCTTGGATTCATTAGCACTGGCCACCTTCTCTGGCAGTTCAAGTTAAACTCCATCAGGTTGTGCTGGTTTTGGCTGGGATAGAGTTAATTTCCTTCATAGTAGCTCGTATGGGGCTGTGTTTTGGATTTGTGCTGAAAAAGAGTGTTGATAATACAGGGATGTTTTCGTTACTGCTGAGCAGTGCTTGCACAGAGTCAAGGCCTTTTCTGCTTCTCACCCCACCCCACCAGTGAGTAGGCTGGGGGTGCCCAAGAAGCTGGGAGGGGACACAGCTGGGACAGCTGACCCCAGCGACCAAAGGGATATTCCACACCATATGACGTCATGCTCAGCATATAAAGCTGGGGGAAGAAGAAGGAAGGGGGGGATGTTTGGAGTGATGGCGTTTGTCTTCCCAAGTCACTGTTACACGTGATGGAGCCCTGCTTTCCTGGAGATGGCTGAACACCTGCCTGCCGATGGGAAGTAGTGAATGAATTCCTTGTTTTGCTTTGCTTGCGTGCGCGGCTTTTGCTTTACCTGTTAAACTGTCTTTATCTCAACCCACGAGTTTTCTCACTTTTATCCTTCTGATTCTCTCCCCCATCCCACTGTGGGGGGAGGGAGCGAGCGGCTGCATGGTGCTTATTTGCCAGCTGGGGTTAAACCACAACACAGGTGAGACAGACATTTTCCCACCTCTTTGCTTTGCTATGGTGACAGTAACTTCCATTGAGGCTGGCACAGTGAAGTTAC